CTATTAGTATAGTTCAATATTTAGCATGTAAGATGTGTAATTTCTTTTATCATATAAGTGGAATCACTGAAAACCTTATCAAATGACAAGTACTAAAGTAACTAAAGTAAGTATAAGTTTTGATTAACCTTGTTTTAAATCTTATGATTTGTTATTGTTAACATTGCCAATTTAATGAGCATTTAAATTTTGATCATCTGTTATTACTTTTGTTTATTACTGGGATAAATAGTTTTGTTAATGAGGCGTTGAATACTTGAGGCATTGGATAAGTAATTGCTTAGATGAAAGGAGAAAGGAGATGAGGAAATTTTAAATTTCGCGTAGCTACTAGCGCTAGTCAATCATAGACATGGTCCATAATATACCTGTGTATGTTTTTAACTAAACTAGGATAAATAGATTATCAAACAGGTTTTAGAATTGTTTTAATGTACTTCTAGACTTGAACAGAATGAAATAATCAGTTATACAATGTACATTGATATCCTATTATAACAATATGGCTATCAGTACGCTTATGAAATTCATTTAACCATATCTACATCTTTATTACACTTAAACTTTAAACTTCTATTATAGATAATAAAATAAAGGTAATGTTATGTCAAGTTGTTATATATTTTAAACTCTATTAACTTGGTATGGATTAATTAACCCCTGGACACTAATAAACTATACGTCTTCTATTCAAATGTTCCATGGTAATGGATGGATTAGTTCTTGTGCAGTTGCAATGATGGATGTATAGATCAAGATAAAGAAATAGCTTATCATCATTATCATTGTCTAATTCTATTCCATAACTAGTGTAACTTGTGAATTCTTTAAACTTTATGTATAGCCTATGATATAAATGAAATAAAGTTTACACAGAAGACGAAAAGAACGAATCTAGAATCAGAATAGCCATCCACAAAAGTCATCTGACTAAAAACGTGATTCTGGAATGAACACCCGATTACATAATGCATTACATCAGCAGTGGCAAATTTAAAATATTATTATTAATTACATCATCATTTAAACGAGATGGAAATAAAGGAAGTGATAATTGAACAATTGAATTAATTGAAGTATTGAATACAACAAATGATTGTTAAACATTATACGATATAACATCATATTAGGAAGAAACAATTAGGTGGTTCCTTTGTAGCTTCTAGTTCCTTCCTGTCTAGTTTCTGCCTAGCTCTTCCCCTAGCTCTTCTCCCTTCTACCTGGCTCCCACCAAGCAATTCATCAATTAACCGTTAGCGATCAGTAGCAAGGAAAGAAAAGGAATCCCTAAAGAGCCTTAAACAAGGTCAATTTACACGGGAAAAATCTCATTCATCACAATCTTAACTCCCTCTACACACTCGTAATAATTATAAACCCACCAAATAACTCATTAAACAACAATATAATCAATTATACATTATCACCCCATTCTCATCATTTAATAATTTACTCGGTATAAGCCATTTTTTAAAAAGTGTTCGCTCACACTGCAAAAAAAAAAGAGAGAATTTAAAGAAATTTTAGAAAAAAACCGCCAAATTGAAGTTCTTTAACAAGATTAAAAATAAAGCAAAACATTCAAACCAAAATAAAATTGGTGAAGAAACATTTGTAAAAGAATCAAATAATTCAATTCCAATTCAATCAAATACACATCAGACAAGTGAAGTATCTGAAGTGACAAATTTTGATAATTCTACTTCATCTCAAGCCGCTGTTATTCCATCCGTTCCACAACAACCAGAAGTTCAACAACAAGTTCAACAAGAAACATCACAATCATTAGAACAACCAATCCAACCTGAACTACAATCAAATCAAATTGCTAAACAATCAACTCAACAACAAGAAAATTTAAAAATTATAAAAGAATCTAAAAAAATGTCAAATCCTGCTTCTTCTTCTTCATGGACAAGTTTCCTTAAATCAATTGCTTCTTATAATGGTGATTTATCTTCATTAACTGCTCCACCTTTTATCCTTTCTCCAACTTCTTTAGTTGAATATTCTCAATTTTGGGGTGAACATCCAGATTTATTAATTGCACCAAATTTTATTAAAGATGATTCCAGCAATCCTGATGAAGTATATGTTGAAAGAATACTTGCAGTTACAAAATGGTTTATTTCAACTTTAAGATCTCAATATTGTTCAAGAAATGAATCTTTAGGTTCTGAAAAAAAACCATTAAATCCATTTTTAGGTGAATTATTTTTAGGTAAATGGAATGATTCAACTTCAAATAATGAATTAGGTGAAACTATATTATTATCTGAACAAGTTTCTCATCATCCTCCTGTTACTGCATATACTATATTTAATGATCAAAATAATGTTGAATTACAAGGTTATAATGGTATAAGATCTTCAATTTCAACAACTTCAATGAATGTTAAACAATTTGGTCATGCAATTTTAAAATTTAAAGATTTAAATGAAGAATTTTTAATTACTTTACCTCCTTTACATATTGAAGGTTTATTAGTTGCATCTCCATTTGTTGAATTAGAAGGTAAAACAATTATACAATCTTCTTCAGGTTATATATCAATTGTGGAATTTAGTGGTCGTGGTTATTTTAGTGGTAAAAAAAATTCATTTAAAGCTAGAGTTTTCAAAGATTCTGCTTCAAGTGCCAATAAAGATAATGCTTTATATACTATTCAAGGTCAATGGTCTGGTAAATCAACAATTTATAAAGGTTCTTCAAGTTCAAATTCTAAAAATTCAACTGAATTTTATGATGCTCAAGCTAAAAATCCTGAACATTTAATTGTTAAACCAATTGAAAATCAAGGTGAATTAGAATCAAGAAAAGCTTGGTTAAAAGTTTCTGAAGCTATTAAACAAAGTAAATTTGATTTAATTCATAAAGAAAAATCATTAATTGAAAATGAACAAAGAGAATTAAGAAAAAAAGAACAAGAATTAGGTATTAAATGGGAAACAAGATGGTTTAAAGAATTTAATTTAAAAGAATTATCATCAAATATTAATGAAACTTCAGATCCATTATTTAATTTATCTTCAAGAGCTAATTTATCAAGAAAAAATGTTGTTAGTGGTACTTTAGTTGGTGAAAAAGATGATAAAGGTGATGATTATAATCATTGGAGATTTGTTAGAGAAAATTGGGATAATGAAGAAGAATATAAAGTTTAATTTTAAATCAACTTCATTCAATTGATCCATATAATATTGTAAATTAATAACATCATGACATATGATTCAGTTTTTTTCATATATACATTTTACAAAGTGTCTTTTTATTGATCTTATATATTTCTTTTTTCAATCATATATGAAGCTGTGTGCAATGTTAATTTAATTAGTCTTTTTTTATATACAGGAGTTTTAGTTTAAATCGCGTAACAAATTACAATGTAGTAAATAACTCATTAATATGGATGTACATATAACCGAATGTCAAATAACATGATACAAAGCATGTACAAAGACAAAGAGACTAAGTACCAGGTACATTATCTTTTGGATAAACCCAATATTAATCAAATTTCTTTTCCAAATAAAGATAACACTTTATCAATAAATTGAAAAGAAGATATGGTTGAAACTTGTCAGATTGCCATTTGCACCCACCCATATTTATCCCTTTCGAAAAAGTTCATAAATAGGGTCAAGATCATCGCTCCTTTATATAACAATAATAATTTCCAAAAGAAAACAATATCGTTATAAATAAAAAGGCAAAAATTAAAATAGATGACTAAACCGCAAAGGATTATAGACAAGCTAAATCAAAATTCTCACTCTAGGGCACAAAGGTATACAACTCATCAACCAAGTTGGATTCAGTGGCTCGTTTGAAGAGTCAAAGAGGGACGTAAACTATAGAAATGATCCTACTGTTGGAAAATGTGTTAGTATTCTGATATTTCTTCTTCTTGTTCTTAACCATCTTTGATAACTTTTATAAAAGTATTCAAAGTTATGGGTACAATACTTACTGAAGTACGTCGACAAAGAAATTAAAAAGGTAAAAGTCTATAAAGATGATGGGAATTCGATTCCTTATATAGTTTTCAAAAATTTTCCAGACTACGCACACTACGAAAAATGACAGTAATTTTTTTGTTTTTAGGGCAAATTTTTAAACATTTTTTAGTTTTTGAAAAATTAGGGCATTAAGAATTCTAGGGTTCAAAGGTTAGGGTATGTTTTGTGTATCATGTGATGTGAGGGAGGGCGGTATATAACACCTGGACATCACCGCGATGATAAAAACCAACCATTTTTTTGAAAAAACCAACTCTTTCGCGAATGTAACAGTCACGATTCAAAATCTCGATTTTTTTCATAGAGTCGTTTCTGTTTTCGAGCATGGTGAGGATTGTGAGAAAAGTGAAAAGTGAAATACTACAACTATCATCAAGTTCAGTTCAAGATCCTTTTGAAGTTAACATCAAATAATCAATACAATACAAAGATGGCTGAATCACATAGATGTATGTTACACAGAGAGAACAAATGAAGAATGAATTAGTGAATTAGTGAATGGTTGGAAAGAAGGGGTGTTAATCCTTATAGTTGTTTGAATAATTAAATATTAATGATTGGAAATATTGAAAAGATACAAGATATAATATAAGATAATACTGAATAATAAAGAATCAATCAAATCATGTTAATACTGAATCAATACACTACAAGAATAATCAAAACTATGACTTTTGAGAAGAACAAGCAGTAAAAAAGATCCATTAACCAATTTTCACCATATACACAATCCATATAATATTCATTTCTTTATATGTTCATATAATCCAAAAAGATCAAATACTAACTTTTATATTATAGTATACGTTAAAGGTAAACACTTATCATACCAAAGAAGTAAAAGTGTTAACAACCCAAACGTTTCTTTAGTTAAAATTGAAGGTGTTGCTACTCCAGAAGACGCTAAATTTTACCAAGGTAAAAGAGTTGCTTACGTCTACAGAGCTTCAAAAGAAATCAGAGGTTCAAAAATCAGAGTTATCTGGGGTAAAATCACCAGAACTCACGGTAACTCAGGTGTTGTTAGGGCTAACTTCAAATCAAACTTACCAGCTAAAACTTTTGGTGCTTCAGTCCGTATCTTTTTATACCCATCAAACATCTAAGTTAATTAATCAAATATATAATTAAAAAAAAAGTGTTATTATTATTATAAAGTTAATTTAGGTTATTATCATATTATATTTTTTGGGTTACTAAAGTTTTTTACGAAGTCTATTGTTTTTTAATTAACATCATCATTTACATTTTATTATCCTTTTCTATTTCAAATCATTTTCCATCGTATCATATTTACACAACAACCAAAAACCAAACAAAACTTTTAAAAGGATTCAATCATTTTATTGTTATTTAAATAGAATGGGTACTTTTTGCGTATAATATTTTGAATTTTGTAGTAAATTATCTTCTATAAATTTGTAATAGTAGTTACGTCGTCTTTATACTTGACTGGATTATGTAATATGGCCCGCGAAAATGAGTAGGATGGGATGTCAAATATTTAAATTGAATGCTGATTTTTGTTTAACTCTCTATATATATACTGGTGATCTATCATGGAATATATAACGCGTTTGAATAAATCCAGATGTACACCAAGGGAAATATAGCTATTGAAAATTCGACCATAATATAATCATATTACATCTAATATAAATGTCATTACTGCTGATTTGCTTCGAGGCTCGAGAATTCAGATGTACGTTTAACTTTAAAGTGTAATTTGCTTATATAATCATATGACTTTTGTGTCAAATATTCTCAAGTGATTGTAGCTCAATATTTTAGTCAAATTGCTACTCATAGAGAGTTAAGTTAGTCTTATTGTTCGAGACTGTTGTTGTTTGATACCACTTAGTACCTATTCTCAATCATGGAGCAAGACACACCTCCCCTTCCTCATCACATTGAAGAAGCAATTCGCAATTTCCGCGACAACATCATAGATTGTCCCTTGGAGAGACTCAACAACAGTGGTCTTCTTATAACCGCTGGTGGTTCAAACTTAATTGATGTTAGAAATGATGATGAAGTTGAAAAATGTGAGTATACTATTCGCCAGAGCTATTTTAAAGTGGTACAGCTTATACAAATACTAGGCTGTGCAGCAGCTTTATTGACAATGTATAACGGCCCATAATTCCAAATTTGACATTTAATCTAACAAGAATAATTTAGTCCTCGAAGAGTTAACCCAAGCACTACTTTTCAATAAGAATGCTGCTCATATTTTTTATGAAAAAGCTGGTGAGGTTCTTTATGATGATGTCAAAACATCAACAGGAACAAAGGTGTACACATATACCAGAAAAATCTACAAAATTTATTTATGTTTGAAGAATATTATACATATTGATGAGTTGAAGAATGCTGATGAAAGTGTTACACCAGATCTTGCAGGAATTAAAGGACTTCCATCTACGCATGGTCTGAAATTTTACCAACTGTCCAGATTAGTAGGTTTCAATAATACTAAAGAAATTGATTGGTTAGAAAATTCAAGTCCATTCAAAAGTCTCCAAGATTTCATTGAATCAAGTCTTTCTGGGCTATCAGAACATCAAGTACACACGCTGCTAGGTTTTCTCTTAGGAATGTTCATAGACAAAAACCCGCTTTTTACTGATACAAATGGTGCTACGTATGAAGAGGATTCCAAAGTAGCATTTTTAGACAATTTTCTTAAACCTACAGTAAAGTTTTTCAACCATATTATGAAATTATCTGAGGTAACTGGGGACAAAAAATTCAAGTTTGTTGCCAAAGAGCAAACAATGAGACACCTAGATGTTACAACTAAAACATTTTTGGGTCCAAAGGCGCAAACCAAGTATAGAGGAAAACCAGACATCAATTTAGAGTTGCAGTGTAAAGATGATTTGAGGGTGGTCTTGAAAGAATTTCCAATTGAGGTCAAAAACATCAAGTTGTCCAAAACCATACGCTCTGAAAGTCCAAACCAGGTTAAGGTCGAAGATGTTGATCTATATCCACCAGTTAACCGTCAGACCACATTTTATACCCTATGCTCAAAAAGCAAAGCCTCCATGATCACAGACCTGATAACAACAGTTTGTATAAACTATAACCATATTTCAAAAGCAAGTTATGCTATAGATATAAATGAATCAATTGGTGATCAAACATTGGTTATTGATGACCCAGTGGATGTTCATGTTTGTGACTCATCATCTTCACACTATGTTGGAATTTCTCTTCAGTTGTTACTCCTTTTGATTCTATTTGATATGATGGCTGCTCAATTATCAGATCTTGGTGTTTCAAGTATTCCAAATAGGTTCAATTTGATTAATGCGGAATCTGATGAAAACTCCAAAGAAACATTATCAAATCTATTGAAAGCAATGATGGATGATATACCTGAGAAGAATTTGGAAACATTTTTAGCTGGTGGTCCTAGTATGTTTGCAAGTGTCTCAAGTAATGAATGTATTAAAAAAATGTTTAATAATCAATTCAAGATGAAGTTGAAGAGTCAAAATATTGAAATGAGATACAATGGCACCAACAGTCACATTTTGGAAATAATAATCAAAAATTTAATTACAAGCAATGATGGCTCTTTTGTTGAATGTGATGAAGATAATGTGTCTTTCAACGTTATTAAAGTTTTCAATATGAATGGTATTGAAGGAATTCAATGGACACTCCAAGATCTATTAGAAACTCCAAAAATTGTACCAAAGTTTGCAAAAAATGATATTGAACATGCCAAAGCTCAACTTAATGCTTATAATCAACGTTTGTCTGGGTTTACAAATGAGCTAAGTGCCTTGGACAAGATCTATAAGTATAATCAAAAATGTCTAGAAGATGATGAAATTACAACACCAAAAGTCCTAAAAGCTGGTATGGCTAAATTTTTGATTGAAGATGATGAAAATAATCTTAATCCTGAAGTTATTTTTGGTCCATTCTTGGTTTTGAGATACAACTCAACCCTATTAGCAAGATCATCTAAACCACTGAGAAGGGAAGAGATCAAATTGTTACATAAACAAATTGATATTCTTCATAAAAAAGTTAGACTTCATCATAGAAAGTTGAATCTGAGAAGTGTGTTCTGCTATGATGGTAAAGTCCATATCTCCAATTTTGATCAATCTACTAGAGTTTCTCCTGGAGGTGTTTGTTCATTTGATGGATCTGAAACTTCATCTCATGCTGGTTGTAAAGATTATGAATTCATTTCTCAATTGTATGAATTTGCAAGAACACAAGGTGATGATGTTGAAATGGAACTTTGATTAGCAAGTTCTTTCTATCTCTAATATTGCTTTATATAATCAATTTAATATCTTTATTTATGTTTTATTAGTAGAGTTTATAACCTTCTTATATACACGCGAATTCTTTGTCAGTGCTGCTCATACCAGCTTTAAAATCATTCCCCATACAAAAATAAACTTAACAAATTGTTTACCTTTCAAATTAACATATGGTTCTATCTTGATATACTCATTTAATCAGATTTATCAATCAAAATGATTCCATTTGAAGGGGTGCTCCCTTATGTCATCATGGGAACGGTGAGTACATTATACTTTCTATTCGTCGATGTGAACTTCAAACTTCAACAAGCGACACACCCCACTCCTTAAGACCTTTTCATATTAACAATATACCATAAAGCTATTAACAGCAGGACCAACAGCTGCTGGTTATTTTAAACTAATTGATAATAATGGACATACTCCAAGACATTCTTTAAACTACTGGGAAAACTTAATGATTGAAAGAGATTTCAGATTGACTGGGAAGTTTAGGGAACAAGTTGCTAATGATAAAGCACCTGAAGCTTTTAAAACTAATGCTTATTGGAAATTAGAAAAACCTTTTAAATGGTGGTGAATTGGGAACTATCAGATCTTAAGTTTATTCATGATCATTATTTATTTATTATTTATTTATTAACTTATTTATTTAAACTTATTTATTACTCCTGCAGTACAAAATGCATATAGCCTTCATAACAATACACACCAATTACTGCACTATCTGTTTTTATACGATTACAGGCCTCGTCAACTCGTAAAGTAGATCTGTGAGATGATTTTTACGTCTAATATAATTAGTTTTTCATAAAAAAATGTCTTTAAATCTCATGACATTAGTATATATTAAAAATAAAAAAGTTATAAAAAGACCATCACACACACATACACACAAACATTAAAAATTAAGTAAATAATAAAAAAAAACAAAATGAAATCACAATAAATGACACGAGCATAAATGAATAAAAAGCAAGAAAAATTGAAAACACCATGAAAACGAATGTACTTGGGGTATTTAATATAATATAAAATAAATGAAATTGAATGATAATTGAGTAGGTAATGATGAAATTGACATTGTGTAAAATGATCCTAAATCATACAATGGGGGTGATCCAATGGGGGTGATGATATATTGTCTCTTGATGAAAATTCTTGAATGAAAAAAAAAGAACCATTTGAGAAAAACATGATGATGCAGAATAAATCAATAATAATGCTAATGAAAGAATACAGTTCAATGTCAAAAAAAATAATATGAAAAGTTCCAAATAAGTTCAACCGACACGCATACTTCTTCTTTTAAAGAAATCCATAACCTTTTTAGCAGTTGATGGTTCTTTTCTTTGAGAATTTGGATAATCAATTGTTGATTTTCTATTTTCTCTATTTGTTTGTTGAGATTTTCTTGGAATATTAATTTCATTCGATGGTTCTAAAACTTTTCTTGTTGATGTTGTAGTTGTTGTATTTGATGAGTTTGATTCTGAAATTCTTGGGCGTTGTTGATGTTGTTGGTGAATTTGTTGTGATTGAGTTGATGAAGGTGCTGTGTTTTCATTTGAATTATTACCATAAAATCCTTGTAAGAAACTAAATCTTTTGGTTCTATTACTATTTGAAGTTGATAAATTATTAACATCAGAACTTGAACCACTTGTGAGTCTTGTTTTAGAATTATTTGAATGCTTTTTAAATTGTTGATCAGGAGATTCTTGAACTGATGTATTTTTAGTATTTGTTGATAAATTTGAAGGTTTTGAATTGTTTGAATGAACACTTGATGTATGAGATTGAGATCTTTGTAAATTATCAGAAGATTCATTCAATTTGTTTTTAGAATCATCATTTGATCCACTAGAACCAAATATTTTATCAAGAACAATTTCAGCAGCAATAACAGCACTATATCTATTTTTCTTTTTATCATTATAAGATGAACTATTAACCGTAGATGAAGATTTGACAGTTTTTTCATTATTAGATGTTGATTCTTTTTCATTAATGTTATTATTGTTGTTATTATTAGTGGTATTAGTATCATTGTCATTATTATATTCATTATTTTCAAAACTTTCATCAGATTTTAGATTAATCAATTTTTCAGAAATATTTTCATCAGATTCATCAACTGAAAATTTCTTTGATGATAAAATATTTGGAGATTTTGGTTTAATAATATCACCTTCTGCAGAACTTAGATCAACTGATGGTTGACTAATTTTACCATTTGTTAAAGAGGAAATTGAATTTGTTGATTCTGATCTTATAACTGGTGAATTTGAGGAATCAAATCCGGTTGGTGAGAGTTGATTATTACCAGTTAATGAATATAAACCTGGATGATAAGAGGTTGGTCTTGGTTTTCTACCATTTGGACCAGGACCCGGTAATTTAGCATTACTATTATGACAAGTATCTGAAGTTTTTGGAATTTTTGGAACAGCAAAATTTGGAGTTTTGAAAGATGGATTCAATGGAGTTTGTTCTTGAATAGTTTCTTTAATTCTTGTATCTCTAACATCACCTAAAGTTGGAATACCAGTATGAGTAGTTGATCTCGGAATACCTTGAATAAATGGAGCACTTGGTCTTCTTGTATCAGAATTACGGCGTTTCATATCAGGTTGTTGACCTTGTTGATTTGAAGGAATTGGTGTATGTCTAGTTTCATCAGCATCAACAACAGCTTGTAAAGCTAATGAGGCTGAACTATAAGATTGAACAGAACTTGATCTGTGATGACCTTTTGGACTAAATCTTAATTGTTCATTAATAGATGTAGATGAAGTTGATGAAGGTAATGCAATAGCATGATTTGATGAAGTTTGAGGAGGTAAAGGATTTGAAAAAAAATGATTTGAAACATTATGATTTTGTAATGAAGCAGATGTAGTATCAATTAATGAATATCTTCTAATTTCATTCTTAACAGCTAAATTGCGTTGAGTTTTAACAATATTTGCATTATATTCATTATTTGTTTTATAATTTTTATCCCATTCTGCAGGTGTAACTGATAAAAATGGAGCATGAGGAGCTAACCATTGATGACCTCTAACTTCTCTTAAAGTTAATCTTTTCTTTGGATTTGGTACTAAAATTCTTCTTAATAAATCTCTAGGCATTGGTTCAATATATTCAGGGAAAGTTAAATGAGTATTTGTAATATATTGATATAATCTTGCAATATTATCACCATCTGGATTTTGTGGATCATCATCAAATGGTAAATAACCAGCCAGCATAGCATATAATATAACACCACAAGACCATACATCAACTTTTTTAGATTCATAAGGTTCATTTGAAATAACTAATTCTGGAGCTGCATAACATGGGGAACCACATGAAGTTTTCATTAAATCATTATATGGACCAAAACTATTAACAAAACCAAAATCTGTAATTATAATGTTTTTATGTTTATCTAATAATAAATTTTCTAATTTTAAATCTCTATGAACTATACCTTTTGAATGCATATAATGTACACCACTAACCAGTTGAGAAAATAATCGGCAAGCTAATGAATCTTTAAGATATCTATGTTGTAAAATATAATCAAATAATTCACCACCAGAAGCATATTCTAAGACAATACCAATATATTTATCATTTTGTAAGACTTCTTCTAAAGTAACAATATTTGGATGTGATAATCTTTTTAAAGCATTGATTTCTCTATGAACTTTACTTTCTCTTTCACTTCCTCTTGGTATAGAATCACGACGAATGAATTTGATGGCAACTTGAGAAGGTTGAGAACCATCTTTTTTCCAACCTAATTTAACTTTACCAAATTCACCTTCACCTAAAGTTGATCCTAATACATAAGAACCAAATCTAATTTCTTTATGAGTTTTTTTAGTAGATTTTGATTGAAAACTTTGACGACGAGTTGTCACAGTTGGATCACCCATTATTCTTTCAAAAATATATTATTTATTGAGTATCTTTTTTTATGGTTATGGAGGTTTCAAATCAATTGTAGGGATTAATAGAAAAAACACTTCTTTTTCTTGTACCTGATTTCCAAAATTAGGCCGTAGATCTTTATTTCAATTGTAGAAAAAAAACTGACGATTATTGGAGATTTTTTTTATGGGAAAAGCTTGATTTGGGTTGAAACAAGGGCTAATTGTATAAATATAAGCTAATGAGAATGATTGGTTATTAATAAGTGTTATTATCAAAAGGATTGACTAAAGTTGGATTGTAGGTTTGATAAAATTTGACACTATTTGATATTGTTTAAGATCTCAAAACGCGAGATTTGAAGCTATTAATAACCACGGAATAACAATAACAATGACAATAACTATGAGAAATGGTTAGTTGAAGTTCTTTCTTCAAATGTAATGGATTCTTTAAGGTAAGCGCTGTGTGATAGCTTACCAGGAAATGTGTTTTTTTGTTTTGTTTTCCAATGAATCCACGATGATACTCACTTCAAACAAGGATGAAATAACAAACCGAATTCTTTGAGTGGCAAACAGCAGATGAACTTATAGAATTTGGAGGGAAGTAGTGGTAGCAGTAGCGATGGTGGGTAGGGGGATGGAACAATGGTAGCGTGTTGGTAGCTGTTGTGGATTGTTTTGTTGAGTGATGATGGTTATATATAAAGGAAGTGAAGATTTTAGTTGAGAATGTGAATTGTTTTGTTTTTGTTTACATTTCCCAAATAAAATTCAAATTCTCAAATCTGATTTTCGAATCGAGCGCTAGGCGGAGTGTTCTGCCTGTGGGTTTGCCTGTGTTCTGCCTGTGGGTCGCTCTAAAATGAATGGTGTAGGCTGGGAGGAGCCTGGGGGTGTGTCCTATCTAGGCGGGAGATGATCTCAAATCTCAAACGATGGGAATGTGCATGGAAAAGTAAACAAAGAATGTAACCTTTCAAAAGAATACGAACAGAAATCACCTTGGAAGTCAGTGAAAAGCCAGTGAGAAACTTGAAGTGACTTGAAGTGACTTGAAGTTGCCTGAAGAAGCAGGTAGTGTTGTACACTGCTACTCTTCATATAACTTGGGAAGGTCAATTGGGCTCATGGTTATCTCTTTCTAGAGTCCAGACTAGAATTATCTCTGTTTAGTTGTCTACTAACGGTTTCCTGTAGCCACTAAATTACACAGTGTGCATAATTTGGGAAATGAGTTATATTCAACTAATTAAGGCGGCACAGTGGGTATCTGAAATCAAATTGTTTTGGGAATCAAATAATGAACTGGATTTCACGTATTAATTATACTGAGAGGTATGTTGTAACTTGTCATTGATCATTGAGTGCTTGTTAAGTCTCCAGATCTTCACTAGGGATCACAATATTCCAAGAGAAATCGACAGAGTACATACTTGTCAAGTCCAAAACAGCTCCATCAACAGGGCATATCGATGCATTCATGAAGTACTATATAATCGAAATCATTGATGTCACTGAGACCTATACAACAACATAATCAACAATTGAACCCTTGTCTTGAAGATAAGTACAAACAAAGTCAAACAAACCATTTCGTAAATTTGTACTCTTTGGATCTTAGATCAACGCTTCCCCGTCCTAACCTCTCTAATCAAACAACATCATAATATTATCGTTATTCATGAATCATTATATTATCTTATCATTAACAGCTTCTGATCAGCTAGGCTTACTCTAAATCAAGCAAAAACGTTGATCTGTAAAGAACCATATCCACTAACCTTCTTTAGCTATGACCGCGACTAATCTTCATATAGTATATAATAGAAGTACTTACCTCATTTACTATCCAATCTGAAATATAGATACTAATCACTTAATTTTAGCATCGATTGACTTTCAACTCAAAGAAAATACATGAAGAAACATGCGGATTATGTTTGAATGCTTCACTGAAACCCCTGAATAACTCTTTAGTTTGTTTTCATCAATACTAAACTTTATAGATAGTCATCATGTCTAAGAAATAAATCATTATTTGATGGACTATCACTCAGCGTAGTGAATAATTTTAATCATATCAGATCACCATTAGTATCAGACTGCTAGTACGTGTCTAAGAAAACAACTTGGCTATATCTAAAAGCGCTTCAATTTACTACTTTTGACCATCCATGATAGACGTACTATGTAATATTTACAAGTTTGTTGATTATTCCAATATACAAAACATTATCTATAGTTTTAAATCAGATAATTTAAAAACACCAGATTTGTTAAATCCCTTAGCTGCAACATTAATATCTTTTGATCCACTTAATAAACCTTCCATTAAAGTTTTCTTAACGGTTCTTTGTTTTGGTTTAGCAGTTTTAGCATTTTCAATTGCAACTAATAATGGATCATTTTCTTTAATTAAATAACCTCTTTTTTCAGGACTACTATAATAACTTATAGTTTTCTTTTTAACTGGTCTACCTGGTAATGGAACGTAACCTCTTGTTTGCAAGAAATAAAGAGGATTTAAATGGGCTCTTAATCCTAATTTTGTGAAAAATCTTGCTGTATATTCACCTCCTGCATTTTCAATTGCTTTTATAGCTTCTGCACTTGCTCTTGTTGCTTCAATTTTTAATGGAAAATTTAAACGTTCTTTACCATCTGCTAAAATTTTAACACCATCTCTTAAAGTACCAGTAACTAAACCTAATTGTCTCATTTTTCTCATATTTAATACTTCACCTTCTTCTAAATTTAATCTACCATCTTTTTTAAATTGAACAATTTTTTCTAAATTTAATTCTTTTAATTGTAAAGCTTTAACATTTTTAAATCCAATTTTTGGAAATAATTTAAAAATTGGTGTTTGACCACCTTCAAACCATGGTTTAACACTACCTCTTGCCTTTTGACCCTTTTGACCTCTACCAGAAGTTTTACCATAACCAGATGATGGACCTCTACCAACTCTCTTAGATGTATGTGTTGATTTATTTGATGGTTGTAATCTTGATAATAATGAAACTGAACGGGTACTAATAATAGACCCCAGTATAGAAGCTTGTGATTGTCTAGGGAGTAATGATTTTAATAGAAACATATTGACGCCCCTTTTTCTCTCCCTTGATGAATTATTAAAGTACAAAGTTAAGCTTGGAACTCAATATTCAATACAGCTAGCCAATATTAATATGTCGTTGATTTGAACTTTTTCACTTTTTCCAAAAAATTACTAGTCGCGAAAACCAAAGAAAAAAAAAAAAAAAACGTGTATGTGGTGCGTAACAAATATATGAGTAAAAGAACTAAAACCAGTAAAAGACAGTTATAAATATTAGTTTCCTTACAAATTGATTAAAATAAAAGTCATGAATTCATTAAAAAGCGATATACATAGTCATACACCAGCTATGCATGAGGTCAAGCATTCTTCAACTGACCCAGGTTTTGTTGTAAAATGGAGGACAGATGTTCAATAATTCTTTGATTATAATTTGAAGATTTAATAGATTGTAATATACCAAAACATTGAATTAAACTCTTTTTTTCAGACTCTTGAACATCTTGGATACTTAATTCATTATCAAAATATGGTATAACAACAAAATCTCTAAATGATGATAATATTAATTTTGAAGTTGTTAATTCCATTGATAATTCTGAGAAATCATTCCAATATTCTTTTGGATTTTTAACTGCAGTTCCTATCCCTTCAAATTCTAATTGTAATGGGAGAAATATAGCTAAGAGATAATGATAAACATTCGTAAGGAAATAATCCCATGTAAATGCTAATCTATGGAATGATGAACCTTCAGTAGTTAATTCATTAAATGTCAGTTCATTTTCCATAATACTTAATCCATTTTTGAAAAATTCTTGAACTTCACTAACTAATGACATTGAAGTTGTTTTATTTTCAATTCTTAATCTTAAAAACACTTCAACCATTTTATTCAAATCTTCTATGGGAGTTTTCAATTTTAAAGATTTAGATTTTTCAGCTCTAAATAATGGAATTGTAGTTGTAGTAATTGTTGACCATAAGTTATCTGCAATTTGATCTTTTTCTTCAAATGATAAATTCCTCAGATTAGTTTCAGATGTTAGATGTTTCATACCATCATTATCAATTATTGCAGATGGATCAAATGAATATAATGTTGATCCAGAATCACCAACTTTAGAATTTGATGCACTTGATGATAACCCATGATGAGTATTTATCCTCAGCCTACTATGATGTGGGAAATGATGTGGTCTATCAGGGTCCCTTCCCTTTGTAAGTTCTTTTGTCTTATTTCTTGCAAACATTTTGGCTCTATTTAATGCATTATCAAATTTCCTTGATGTTGGCGAAGTGATACTATTAGTTGAAGATTGATCCGGACTTGTAACTGATGTATTCACAGAGTTAAAACCAACATTGGACAGTGTATGAGTGATAGAATGCAGAGTTGATGATGATCCATTCTTATTCATGTATCCAAATGGTGATGTTGGTTTACTTGTCGATCTTTCCTCATCTCCACCGCTTCTTGTATGTGTGAACTGGATGTTGTTTGCCAGAGTTGAAGCACTGCGTCTTCTGTTGCTTGGGTATTCATCAGCCATACTGTCATAGAAATCCTCTTATCTCTTGACTTTTCAAGATAAAAGTATTGTAGTTTGTTGGTTAAATGTTATATAACATTCGCTTATTTCAAAACTTGTAGTTACGCGACACAAAAATCAGAATTTCCACTGTATACGCGTCTACAAAAAGTTTGACATAAATTATTAAATCGTAATCCATTTCACTCATTAAAAAACTGCTCCTTCGCAGACAAATAATCGTTCCTGGTATCGCTTACACCAATTGACTATACTCTTTGCACTATTCACCAAAACTTCTCTTTTCGTTATACTTCCGGTGATTAAATAAACTTCATAATTTGGTGAAACCCAACCAAGTCCAGCTATTGAACTATTTGAATCTTTCCCTTCATTATCCCATTTTATGAAAGATACACTAATTTTAGCATCTCTATCAATGCTTGAATATAATCTTAGGTAATATCGTTGTAATGTTGTAACATTTGTTGATGTTGGCATCACATATTGTAAATGCTTTTTAGATTTGTATATGAAATGATAAATTAATGGAGCAGGTATATCTATGGTAGATAATCCATGATGTAATGATTCATTAATTTGTTTCATGATTTGATGTTTTTTAAAATCTTCAATGATTTTTTTGGAAGTTTCACTCAACTCGAAAAAACAATTTCTATCAGCACTAATTAATATAAGTGCAACTTGATCAACAAATTTAACGAATGCATATAAAAATCCATTAGGATTAAACTTAGAAAAACATATTGGCAGCCAGAGCTCTTCATCTTCTGAATGGTTTTTTGCCTGATTAAACACTATAGAAAATAAAATTTGTAAATCTGTTGTATGTAATGTATGACTTTTAGGTCTCAAGACATTAATCAATTTCCCACCAGGGGCAACCAACATTCCATAAAGTACATTTTTGGATCTTTTATTCAACATTATACTTCTTGATTTATCTCTTATTGATTTTTTTAATTTAATACTTTGTAATGCACCAACTAGTAATCCTGGATTGAAATCAATAATCTCTTTTGTTAATAAATTTAAACCTGAAAGATCTGCACGTCCTAAATGTTTCCTTAGATCAAAACCTTCTTTATTTTCAAATGACCTCATAATATGTGGTTTGCTTAAAGCTGATAATAAGAAACTATAAAGAAGGTCCAATTGATTCATCAATTCAGATTCAGATTCACCAATCTTGGAAATTGCCAGTAGTATTATTGGTGATTGATTTAAAAATGTAAATCTTGTACTTTCTGTAACAAATGATTTTAAGCTTGAGCCTGAAACCAAAAATGAACTAACAATGGTCTGTATAATACCATTATAGTTTACAAAATCATCATCATTATGATCTGCATCACTACTCATTGAATAAATTGGTTTACCAGCAGCTGATAATATAAAGAATTGTTTGGCACCTTTTAATTTTTCTTGTTGTTCTTCATGATCAAAATTATCTTTCAAGTCCGTGGAGCGTTGACTAATGATTTCTCCCAAAGTATTAGCAAGATCATCATCTTCACTATAAACTGTTAAAGTTGGTGTCGTCCTTATTGTTGATTGATCATTACTTGAATCATGATATGATCCATAATGATTCAAAGTGTTGTATATGCGATCTGTATCCAGTTCATTCTCCTCTTGACCCACATTTTCCATAGATACTCCTGTAGTTGGTTGTGCTTGTAGCTCTGCTAATTTTAAAGGTGATTTGGATCGAGTCACCATCAACTGTGATAAAGATGGTTTCTTCTGGGGTCTTTTGGGCATTTGTGGCCTGTAACCAGGCTCTGGAATGTAGTCACTGTCTATTGAGATACGATCATCTTCCATCTTTCTGTTCCCGAAAATCACTATTTTACCAATAGCAGCGAATCAACGGAAATCCAATCAAACAATGCTTTGAAATGTGTGGAAAATGAATTGTTTATGTTTCCAAAATTGATGCTTATTACACTTTAAATGCACAAAATTCGCGACAGACAGAGTTCGCGGGTAACCTCATCTGCTGACGTAATAACGTAAATAAAAAAAATTATTTTAATTCTTTATACTAGTATAACATTCACATACTTGAATATATTTAATTAAACCATATTAAAGGCTAAAATATATAAGAAATATGAGTGCCACTGATAAGGAAACGAATAGTACCATTGCCAAAGCTGGTGAAAATTTGGATTTAAAAACCTTATTCGTTCGTTCAATACCTTTTGATGCTACTTCAGAACAATTATCAGATTTTTTTTCACAATTTTGTCCTGTTAAACATGCAATTATAGTTACTGATAATGAAAAAAATTCAAGAGGTTTTGGGTTTGTTAGTTTCTCATTAGATGATGATACCAAAACTGCTTTGGAACAATCAAGAAAGAATAAATTTCAAGGTCGTTTATTAAGAGTTGATATCGCTAAAAGAAGAGATCGTAAAGATAAAGATGTTACACATGTCAAACCTGAAAAGGAAGCTATTGAAAAAAGAAGAGCTAGATTGATTATTCGTAATTTACCTTGGTCTGTTCGTGATCCTGCTGAATTAAAGAAAATTTTCCAAAAATATGGTGCTGTTACTGATGCTATCATTCCAAGAAAGAAAGGTGGTAAAATGAGTGGGTTTGGATTTGTTACTATGAAGAAAAACTCAAGTGCTGAAAATGCCATTAAAGGTTCTCAAGGCCTTAAAATTGCTGATAGAGAAGTTGCTGTTGATTATGCTATTGAAAAATCCAAATGGGAAGCATATAAACAAGATAATGAAGATGAAGAAGAATCCGATGAAGAAGAATCTGAAGATGAAGACGAAGATGATGAAAGCAAAGATGAAGATGATGAAGATGAAGGTGAAGAAACTACAAATATCGAAGATGAGGATTCTGAAGATGCTGATGTCGCAGAAGAAGAAGATGATGATAGTGATGTTGATTTAGATAGTGATGAAGAAATCGATGAAGAAGAAGAAGAAAAAGAAGAAAAACCAAGAGAACAAAAGAATAGACAAGATCAATTCAGTATATTCGTTCGTAATTTACCATATGATGCTGATGAAGATACTTTGAAAGAACATTTTGAACAATTTGGTCCTGTTAGATATGCCTTACCAGTTATAGATAAGGAAACTGGTTTAGCTAAAGGCACTGCTTTCGTTGCTTTCAGAAAAGAAGATGCTTATACTAAATGTTTAAGTGAAGCTCCAGATGCTTCTTCAACTTCTATCTTAATTTCAGATGATGTTTCACCTGCATATGTTTATCAAGGTCGTATTCTTTCAATAACGCCAACAGTCTCAAGAGAATCTGCTTCATTTTTAACTGAAAAAAATGCACAAAAAAGAAGTGAAAACTTTGGTAAAGCTCCTGGTGAAAAAGATAGACGTAATTTATATTTATTAAATGAAGGTAGAATTACAACAAGTTCAAAATTAGCTTCTGCTATTACACCAATTGATTTAGAATTAAGAGAAAAATCTTATAAATTAAGAGTTCAACAATTAAATAAGAATCCATCATTACATTTATCACTTACAAGATTAGCCATTAGAAATCTACCAAGAGCTATGAATGCAAAAGCTATGAAAGCACTTGGTCGTAAAGCTGTTGTTGCTTTCGCAACTGAAGTTAAAGATGGTAAAAGACAACCATTAAGTAAAGAAGAAATTCAAAGATCTGTTAAAGAAAAGGCTAAATTAGAAGAAGATGGTGAAGTTGAAAGTAAAAGAACCAAAAAACTTGGTGTTGTTAGACAAGCTAAAGTTATTATGGAAGTTAAAGGTTCAGGTGATCAAGGTCGTAGTAGAGGTTATGGTTTCTTGGAATTCAGAGATCATAAAACTGCATTAATGGGGTTAAGATGGTTGAATGCTCATAAAGTTTCAGAAGAAGAAATCTTAGAAGGTCTTACAGATGAAGAAAAGAAAAACGTTAAACTTGATCCAGCTAAAAAGAGACAATTGATTGTTGAATTTGCTGTTGAACATGCTAATGTTGTTAAAAGAAGAAGAGAAAAAACTTTCCAAGCTAGAACTGCAGGTGGTTATAAAAGAAAGAGAGAAGATGGTTCAGAGGAAACTAGTGGTGAAACTTCAAATTCAAATCGTGAAAGACTTGAACCACAAAAAAAAATGTATAAAGCTGATAAAGCAAAAGGTAAAAGAAATCCAGCTAAAAAGGGTAATATGAACAAAGGACCAAAAGAAAATCAAAATAAATCTGGTTTAGATGATGACACTAAAAAATTGATTGGTATGAAACGTAAAAGAAGACAACAAAAGCATAAATAATCATAGAATAGAAAAGAAATATAGATACCTATTTATTTCATGCGTACAATACATTACATTTATATAATTTACTTACAATTACTACAATGCATTTAAAAAGTTTTGGTTTTAATATTACATATTCATCACTTCATTTGTATTATATAAACAGATTTATATATATATAGATCTATCAACAATACGTAACTTATGCACTGTGTTGTATTAATTTAAATTTCTAATACTTTGCAACGATTGAAATTTTTCTAATGGTTTCTTGGAGCTCTTTTTGTTAATGACATGGTATTTTCAACCCATCCTTCAGCACCACCTTCTAATACCAATATATCATAAACTGAATTAATTCTTGTATTTGCTTTATCTTTTTGATGTCCAATAATAGCTGCATTTCTTGTACTTGGAATTCTTAACATTTCTCTTTCAACTTTCCAACCAACATCTCTTGCTAAATCTTCAACATGGTCAACTAATGCTGCATATGTAGAAGCTCCGAATGAAGATTTATCATTCTCTTTTTTCATTTGTGGTTTTTTGGAAGGATATCTAACACGAGCACCTGATAATGAATGAGAACAACATGGAATAACAAGGAATGGGTAACCTAATAATGGAATCCAGCAAGTTAATTCATCAGAATGGTTCCCTATTATAAATGTATTTTTTGGGAATTGTGCAGTATTAACTTGTGAAGATTTTAATAACGAAGCAGAAGAATAATAAGCAACAACTGGAACATCAATACCACCTTCTCTTATGAATTTTGATCCATTATTTATTGGAACTTGGAATATACGACCATTATCAGATACATGAGGTGCTAAATTTCTAACAGCAGGATGTGGTCTTAATAATACTGATGGAATAATAACTTGTTCTTTTAATCTATTTTGAACTTCTTCAGGATAAATTTTCCAACTTTTTCTAGCCCTAGCATCTATACCAATACCTTTGTAACCTTCTGAGATTAAAATGTGAACTAATAACCCATTACCACACCCCAGATCACGAAATTCAAAATCATTTTTATCTTTATATAAATTTGACCAAAGTTCTATCAAGAATGCAGCAATTGCTATATCTTCAAAAACGTGTTTTCTTGGATCTGTTGATTCAACCCAATTATCAACCAAGGTTTTAGAATATTTCTTTTTCAATGCAATATAACGATCTTGAAATGAAACTTTTGAAACAACTTGATCATGTTTAACTCTTTTTTGATAACCTTGCATAACACCTGTTGAATGTTTTTTAGCAGTTTGAAGTAATCTAAAAGCAATCCTTATATTACGATTACTTGGATCTAAATTTTGAAAACTTTCAATATTTGATTTTTGATTATAATCAAATGGTAAATAATGAATTGATAATTTGTTTTGTCTATATAAAATACCAACTGCTTGAACTTCTGGTAAATAAAAGGGACAATCTTCCCAAGATGATATATGAGGATCATAAACGACCAATGTTGAATCATATTCAGTTTCACTTGATGTTTTCAAAGCTGTTATTAAACATGTTTGGTTTAATATAACATCTTTAAATGGATTTCTTGGAACAATTCTTCGAACAATTTCCACTTTAGGTCTTGAATCTAATGCCAATGGTACATTCCGAAGTTTTATATCATCAAGATTCTTAGTAAGTATCACTTCATCTTGTGATGAAGTTGGTATATCAGGTTTTTGGTTTGCTAATTCACTATTGAATTTGGTAACTTGTGGTTCATCTTGAGTGTAATCATATACATTTTCTGAAAGAATATCAGCTCTAAGGATCACAGTGGAATTAATATTTGGTTGTTTGATCAAATTATTCATGGCATTTTCGAAATGTTCACTTTTGAACTCAACATCTGATTGGAATAAACCAACCCATTCTGGTCCCAATATTGATGGATCTTTTCTGATATTAGGCTCTTCTGGCACCTTTTTCGTCTCTGATTTAGCGTCTGACATTGTTTTAAATGCAGCTTTATTATAGATGTTACACTTCCACTTGAACTCAGCAAATCAACTAGCGACTATCCCTTCTCAAATAGCTCTTAAATCGATCAAATCACTTTTGAATGAATCATTTTCATTGTAACGGTTTTAATCATAATAAACTGCGATTTTTCACTATATTTTTTTTCTGGTTACGTAACATCTTATAAATTCGCGTATATATTATTTTTTTGGAAAAGCAGTGCTGATTTTAAAACGAAAGGAACAAGTTTTGAATCAAAATTAAGCAGACTTCCAATTGTTTTGGTTCTTTTGTGTGCAGTTCTGTTTGGTTTAAGTGCTCTTCAGGTCACTCAGCGTGCGAAGTTTCAGGTAATTTACACAGACAAGATTTCCAATGGCTGGCCAGGCGTCACAGTGAGTATAATCATGGGCTCATGATACGTGTTGCGATATACTAACAATTATACTTTAGATTTCAACAGTGAGTTAACAGATCTTCTTGTTTTGCCAAAGAGGAATACGTACTAACAATTGCAGATTGGAAAAACTAGGTGAAGGGACCTATGCTACCGTTTACAAGGGCCGTAACAGGGCTACGGGGACACTCGTTGCTTTGAAAGAAATCAATTTAGATTCAGAAGAAGGTACACCATCAACAGCAATTAGAGAAATTTCATTGATGAAAGATTTAAAGCATAACAATATCATCAACTTGTACGATGTTATTCATACAGAAAATAAATTAACTTTGGTTTTTGAATATCTTGATAGGGATTTGAAAAAATATATGGATACACATGGTAATAATGGTGCTTTAGAACCTCATATTGTCAAATCATTCATGTATCAATTATTAAAAGGTATTGAATTTTGTCATCAAAATAGAGTATTACATAGAGATTTAAAACCACAAAATTTATTAACAAATTCTAAAGGAGAATTGAAAATTGGTGATTTTGGTCTTGCTCGTGCTTTTGGTATTCCAGTAAATACTTTTTCAAGTGAAGTTGTTACGTTATGGTATAGAGCGCCTGATGTTTTAATGGGATCAAGAAATTATTCAACTTCTATTGATATGTGGTCCGCAGGGTGTATTCTTGCTGAGATGTTTATTGGTAGACCTTTATTCCCAGGTGGTTCAAATGAAGATCAATTGATGAAGATTTTCAAATTAATGGGGACTCCAAATGAACGTACATGGCCTGGTCTTTCCCAATTACCAAATTATAGACCAAATTTCAATATGTTTATTCCACAAGATCTAAGAACTATTATACCAACTATAGATCCATTAGCATTAAATTTATTAAATAGTTTATTACAAATGAAACCAGAAAATAGAATCTCTGCTGCTCAAGCTTTACAACACCCATGGTTTAGTGAATTCAATAATAATCATATCGGTGGATTAACTTTGGATCCAATTAGTCAAGATACTCCTTTCCAACAACAACAACAAATACAAACACAAGCTATCAATAACCAACCACCTCCACAAATGTATCAATCAGTTCCATCTCAACAACAACAACAACAACAACAATATTATCCAAATTGATAACACCCTACAAATGTTTATTGATTCACACTTTCAGTTCTTCATATAACAGATTCCTTTTATAATTTATTGTGCTTTTATTTTGAATCTACATGTAGTTCAATTAGATCATTTTTTTAAAGTCATTACTCATTCAATCATTTCTATATATGCAATTTTACAGCAAATCTAACCCAAAGTTGTTAACATACCCAATACATCATGACTTGGGGTCCCTCCTTGTTCTTCTAAATAATGTAATAATTGAACATCTTGTGTTTTATAGATATATATCCATAAATCATCATTATTTAAAAATTCTTTATCCATTGTATCAATAAACCATTGTATATATTCCCAATTTCTCGTCTCAAAAGCTTCAATTAATGGTTGAACTGAAGTTATGGTATCAGTTTCCAGACATTCATAAATTATAGTCAAATCTGATACAGATATTCCACTTTCCATTACAGTCTTAAATATAGTGTTACAATCAACAAATCTAAGACCCTTACCGTGTAAATATCTCAAAGCATTTAATTTATCCTTATTGAAAGGTGAATTATAATATTTTTCCGGGAAATCTTGAACTTCTTCTTCTGGAACATCTTCTAATTCAACATCACCTCTTGTTATATCATTAAAATTTTCATCTGCTATTCTTGCCAATTCTCTATTAATTTCTTCCTCTGTACTTTCAGCTCGTCTCATTGTTTCAAGTAATTTTTGATTTAATTTGTCATAGTATAATATTAATCTATTTTTGGATTCTGATGCTATACTACTTAATGGTAATACAGTATCAAATTTCAACTCTTCCAATAGATCCATTTTTACAAATTTATATTTCAAGATATCTTTATCTAGAGCAAACCTCTTCTTGTGATCCATCTCTGGTGATACTATCCCAGTGTTTAAATCCATTATGGAATCTTTTAATATAGTTTTCTTTAATGTTTTAGTTGGATATAATTGATCATGTAAGATTTTGCTTACAAATGGTAGACTTAAACATCTTGAAAATATAAATATTTCATGAACGATCTCAGTGGGAAGTCTTTCCAATATTGAGGCATTTGGTTTTAATGGTTCTTGTTCTGGTTCTGGTTCTGGTGTTGATTCTAATTCCAACTCTGGCTCTGTTTGTATAACGCGTTTGGGTTCTGGTAATTTGGGTGTCTTTATATTGTGTGGTTTTTGATTTAATTTAATACGCTTATGAACCTTTTTGGAGGATGGGTTGGGGGAACCAGACTTGGCCCTCTTACTTCTGTTTCCTGGATTCAAAAATCCCATCCTTTAAATAGTTTTTCAATGGAAATATCACGTTGTTCTTAAAAGTGTCAAGCTTATCGTGTGAAGTTTTGATAAAAGTGACAAATTTTCATTAGGGTGTATATTAATACTTTAAAAATGGTTCGCGAAGCATCTCATCGATTACATAAACACATAAGCTTTATAAATTAAATACGACGTATTTTATAATTCATATTAAGACTTGGTTATTATACAACGGTTTCACAAACTCACTCTTTGTTGGGAGCGTTGATTGATACTTTCTCAGTGTCAGTCTCTGTATCGTTTTTCTGGGAAGCCAAATACTCTGCAACTTCCTCAGGAATATCACCTTTAGCTGAATTATAAAGAACAATACCATTTTTTCTAGCATCTTTACGTTCTTGTCTCTTGTACAATACAAACGTCAAGACAGTCCAAGCAAGTAGTACAGCATCCACACTAGTGGCAAATCTGTAGCCCTTTTTGAATCTGGGTCCTTCACTTGTGGGAAAAGCTACTGGGACTAACCATGCAATAGATTGTGCACTAAATATATTGGCCGCACATAAAACAATTGCACGCTCTTGTGGATCATGCCTCATAATATCGTTCAACCAACCATAAAGTACTGAACTGATTGAATAACCAAAGTAACAAATGTAGAAAGCATACCATAGAGCAGATTCAGGTACATCCCATGCTGCTAATATAGCACTAGATGTTAAAGTCATAGCTGTACCAAACAAGATAGCAGCAGATCTTGATTTGAATATATCTGCACTTAAACAAACAGCAAGCACAATTGCAATACCTAATGCTGATGGAATTGAAGTGATTCTATTTAGTTCGGGTGTACTGTAACGTTTCAATGAATCTAACCATAATGGGAAACCAGAATTCTTAATTGGACCAGAACAATTCCAGAATAACCCATCAAAAATCATCAAGACATATATTTGCCAGCTTGTAAGTATCTTTTTCCATAAATTGAAGTCTAAAAATGGTGGCGGGTTTTTAGAAGGTGGCACAATATTTGCATCTCTCAATCGTTTCCTTGATAATAGAATCTCTTCGTCTGTTAAAAACAACGAGTAGCAATTTTCAGGTGTCCCTGGAACTGCATAAAGACCATAGAATGCTATAGGTATAGTTATAGCACCATCAATTATGAAAATCCATCTCCATCCAGCTTTGCCTAAAACGCCATTCAATGACTGATAAATTTGACCTTGTAATAAACCAGACGTCAAACCTCCCAACATCAGCCCAGTATAGAAGAGTCCACCTCTCGAGCTAATTTCTGATGCTGTATAGACATTACCCAATAAATAATGTACTTGAACAAAGAATGAGCTTTCTGCTGCACCACAGAAGAAACGAGACACATAAAGTTGCTGAGCATTTTGAACATTTGCTGATAAAATTGTTATCAAACTCCATAACAGATTTGTTGCAAAGAATAAATAATTCAAAGGTAATCTGGGGAAAATGTACATGAATAATATTTGAAAACTAACTTGACCAGCACTGAAGGTGGCAGTTGCAGTTGATAATTCATCTCCAACCATATTCAAATCTTCTCTCATACCTGATACAAAAGCATTAGTTAAATTTGTAGAGTCGAGAGTTAATGACCAAAATCCACCGATTGTGTATAAAACAATCATGAAGTCCAACTTTAGTACCAATTTCTTTTCAGCTTTTGTAGCATTTTTATCAAACCAACTCCACCAAACTTTATTCTTTCTAGTATGTTCATTGTAACGATATTCATATTCATCGAAAAACTGGTACCATTTCCGATTAGCTTCATCTCTATATTCCAGATTTGGTTCAAGCTCTTTATTCATAAATTCAGCTGTCTGCTGATCTTCTTCAAGATATGGATCATAAACTTCTCTATAATGAGGAATGAACTTCCAATACCAAGCAGTATAATTAGGCATTTTAATTGCTAGCCTCTTAGCACAAGATTCAACCCCAATAAATACATTCTAGACAAAACTGCGATCAAAGGCATCCTTATATATTCCATTGAGATTTCAGACCATCCATGTTGTGTGCTTAGTTATCCCAAATGAAAGAGTGTTCGTGTATTCAATGTCAAAAGCCATATATTTCTCGCTTTTGTACTATAGACTATAGACTATAGACTATATGTGTAATGCATAAGCCGACCCGATCATACTCACAACTAACAACTTTAAATCCCACAATCAGATAATGCTAATCGTCTTATCTCTTACTATTACACATAAGACAGTAAAAAGTACTCTATAGAGTATATGACATATGTGGTATAATGCATAAGCCGACCCAATAATACTCAGAACTTTAAATCCCACAATCAGTTACTGGTAATTATCGTCTAATCTTTACAAAGAAAACAATTACTGTACTAAACATATTTATAATTCTATGTATATATAACTTTATTTCTATGCTTTTGATTCCAGTGTGGCTTCTATAGGTTCTTTAGAAATATCATATTGACCTCTCATTCTCTCACCATAACGTATCAAAAGAAACAATGCAAACGATCCGGTCCATAAGAAACAAGCAGATATAGTACAGGTCCAACCTATACCAATATGATTTATTTGAATAAGAACAGTGGCACTCCCTATAGCAGCTGCTATGAATCTTATAGCATAATTTCCCGAAATGGCATCACCCTTCAATTGAGGCATTGAATCAACACAATATGAGTTAACACTTGGGAAACATATAGTTTGACCAAACCCACCAATAAACATCATTATTATTGGTACGGCCATTCCACCTTTCTCTTTCTCTAACACCCATCCATAAATTAAAATTGTACCTGGTACTATAACCCCATAGGCAAAAGGCATTGAACGTAATCTATCTTCAGGTATTCTTCTTCCTCTTAGCTTCTTATATTTACGAACATGATAATCTGCCCATCTACCACCAAGGAATGAACCTACTAGATAACCACCACCTGGTGCAAGATAAAATAATCCACCATACACTGGATCTTCTAATCCAAATCTTGGATCAACAACATATCTAATTGGCGTTAATAATGAATACATATTGTAATGTAATGAAGAGCTAATTATACCAGCCAAGATCAGATTTTTATATTTGAAAGCTAAAATGACACTGAATGGATTATAAGGTACCCAGTAAACCGTTTTACCAGTCTCTTTCTTAATGTTCACAATGGCAATATTTCTACCAGTTTCTGGTAAGAACAAAATTGATAATATCAAATCAAAGGATGCAAGACCAACCTGTATCCAAAAGATAACTCTCCAGCTTGTGTAAGTGACACAAATACCACCCAGCACAGGGCCTATAATAGGACCCAACTGACTTCCTGATAAAGTCCATGCATTTCCTGTACCTCTTTCTTCAGGCTTATAAATATCACCAATAATAGTAGCACCAACTGAGAAAAAGGGAGTACCAAAAAATGCACATAAAGCTCTAAATATGAAAAACATTGCCAAATTTTGTGATAATGCAGTTAATATAGTTGTAATAACAAACAATGAAAGGCATAAAATAAATGTGATTCTTCTTCCATATAAATAACCAAATGGTCCTAAAACACATGGTGATATAGCCATCACTATACAATAAACAGCATTTGAAACATTGATTATCACACCAGTTGTATTGAATCTTTCAGCAATTACAGAAACAGCTGGTAATAAAGCCATTGAACTTATGGGTGATAAAAAACATGATAATGCCACAATAAATACAAATAATCTCTTTTTAGCTGGTGAATATTTTGAATATATTTCATCTTCATCATCCTCATATTCAGTAGTTTTCGAGTCTATAATCTCTTTTGACTGCCTCTGTGATTCCTCATCATCATTCTCGTGTCTCTCTAGGGTATTCTCATTAGCCTCTGTTTCATTTTTTCTACTCTTTATGCTCTCTAGTTTATCTATTGTACTCATACTCTATATCTTCATAGCACTGATTGTATTTACCTTAACAACTCTTTTGACATTGAACACAATAGATCAAGACCGAAAAAAAAATAATTTCGCCTGATATCGCACTCTATATATATATATAAGTTCCATCTTCCCAGGGTTCAAGATAAGAATCATGTTGGATGCTTTTTCTTTTTTACCAAATTAAGTTAAGATATGTGGCTCATAAAGATCGGAAACATGCATCCGTAAACTATAAGGAAAATATAATAACCTCTTACGCTATAAACGTTCGATATTAGAGTTTGACACCTTCTGATACTTCTTCTCATTCCCAGGTTATTGTAGGTTGAGTACCTTGGGTCTATATTGGTTAGCTCATATAAGGACACTGAAGAAGATGAATAATCAAGTGATGGATATAAATACACACTATACACAATAAACTGGAAATCAGTCGAAATTACGTGACTCATGTTCTGAGTAATAAGTAATGAGTATAATATGAGTAAACTATGAGATACTTGTGAAAAGCTTGAAAGTTAAAACTCATGATTATATACCTCGATGGTTAATTATCTCTGTTTAACGTTACTCGAAATAGTCATAATTTCCAAATTATAAAATCACACAATATATAGATATCATGTCCCAGTTTTCTAATTATAAACTACATCAAAAGGTTTATGTTAACTACAAATAATAATCTTTCATATGCGAAAATATAATTATAATAAACAACAAGAATTACAAGTTTTGAAAATACCCCATTTTAAAAATAACCCTTATAAATAATGATTCTTTCCAAAAATCAACATTTAAAGACATTATAATATAAAATTTTTTTGAAAAAACATTTAAAGAATTTCCATTTGACGTGACATGTTACGCTTAAGCTAATGATGGGAAGTTAGCTTCATCATTGATTGATGGACCTGAGGCTTGTTTTGGACCTTTTGGACCTCTGGTGTTGTTACCACCTCTTGGACCTCTACCTCTGGTGTTACCTCTTGGACCTCTACCACCTCTGGTGTTGTTACCTCTGGTTGATTGTGGTCTTGGAGCTTCATCAGCAAAAGTAGCATCAAAATCTAAAAATTGTTTAGTTTTTAAAGCTTTTGATTTAACATTTTTAGTTTTAGTTGGAGCAATGAAAACTTCTTCTTGTTTAGCAATAACTTCGTCATCACCTGAAGATTGAACTTGTCTAACGTTTCTAGCAGAGTTGACACCTAAAGCAGCTTCTTGTTCTTTTAAGAAATCTTCTAATGATTTTTTAGCTGGTTTGTTGTCTTCTTCTTTTAATTCTTCAGCAGCATCTTCAGCACCATCTAATTCATTTTCTAATTCAGCTTCACCATCAGCGGTCCAACCAGCTTGTTTAACTCTTTTGTCGGAATCAGTTTTACCTGATCTTGAGTGACGATCAGTTTTACCACCTTTAACTGGTTTTTTAGATCTAACTGGTTCTTCAACACCTTTAGCTTTGTTAGCTTCTCTACCAGCTTTACCAGCTTTTAAAGCAGCTTCGTTACCAGTAGCTTGAGGACGGTTTTTGTTAGCACGGTCTTTGTTAGCTGATGGTGGAGCAGTGTCAGTTTTTTTAGAAGAAGTGTTCTTCTTGACAATTTCTCTTGGAGCTTTGAATGAAGCATCAGCTTCTTCAATGTCGTTACCTAAAACGTCAAATGGGTTCTAGAAAATTGCATGTTAGTAAACCATTACAATAGACAATATGGACACATTAAATTTATAGAGATGAATTGTATTTTCCAATGCTAAATGTTCAATATCCCACACTCTTTGTAATTTTTCACTGAAATTCTAATATAATACCCAAAAGCAATCCAATCATATCAAATTTATCATAATAAAACTTGATTGAAATATCCCAATTTTAACATGAGCATATCACACAGGTGCAACAATTCCCTCTATATGAACAATAACATACACTCATTGTTGTCTGTAGTTGATTTTATAACCTTTTACAAAACTTGATGCAATGAGTTGACAAGTCTTTCCAGCTTTTCGCTTTGAAAAGCGTCGTCGAAAAAAAATTCAAATTTTTCACTACGCATAAATATCAGCACGGCCAAGCGTAAAAACAGGTCCAGTCTCCACTGTATAAGCCGTTTAGAAAATCCCGGCCTAGAAAGGTCTTGAGTCTGGCTAACAATGGGCTGACAAATGGGCCTAGGCCTTGTATTGTCTTTAATGAACAACTACAAATATCAAAATTAATCCAATTGTAACAATTTATTTATATAAAAAAGCAATTAACATCAATCTTTTTATATATCAGCATCTATAAACATAAACATCATAACTATCTTCTGATCCTGTAAATTAATTAGGCTTCAGTTTCAGACTTGTCATCATTAATATACACATCTCCAATTCTGGAAAAAAATCTCTTTATAGCTGTACGTAATTCTGTTGGAACACTTTTATCAAGAATATTCAATACTAAATCATAAATATGTGGACAATGTTTAATGAAATCTTGTTCTTCTAATTCATAATAACCTTGTAAAATCTCCACAACAACTGGTCTCCATGTAGAAATGTTTCTTTGTTGTGAGCTATCATCTAATGATACATATCTTTCCACAATTGATACACACATTGGTATTAAACTTGAACTAATTGCTTCTTTTTGCCTTGGTGAAACTTTATGGTCATCATTATGTAATTTGAATGTAATGTTAATGAACACTGCTGATGATGATGATTCTTGTTTCAGTAAATTTGGTAATTTATCAATAACTCCAGATTCCCATAATCTAACTCTTAAATTATAATCATCATTGAATTTTCTTGCAAATCTAAATGATTTTTCTAATAATGCTGAAATTCTAACTAATGATTCATATGGTATAACTTCATAAAATTGTTCATCTTCAAATAATTCACTCAATGTTTCAATCATTAATAATTGTAAAATACATTTAACCACAATTGCATTTTTAGATTTGTTCTTTCTACGAACATCTTCTGCACTTGTTGATCTACTTATACTTCTTGTTCCGTCTTCACCATTATTACTGAAATCAACTCCATTAGCTTCATTCAATTGTTGTGTAGAATCTGATGACTCTAAATCTCTTGATTTTTCTTCTCTTAATGGATCTGCTTCAAATAATTCAATGGCTGTAGTTAAATCAAACAGTTTTTCAAATGATTCAGTAACTTTATCCCAGTGTTCTTGATTGAAACGATGCATATTTTGTGTAATTAATTGTTGGAAACATGATCTACCAATTCTTGCAATTGTATCATTTTCTTGACAAATACAAGAAATTAATAATCCCAAATATCCATCAAGCATTCTACTTAATTGATCAAAATAATGTGTGAATAATGCAATCATATTTCTTAAAGCTTGAATCAAAGTTGTTGATAACCAAACTGATAAATCATCATGACTATTGAATTGATTAATTTCCCAATGTTTACTTAAAACACCAAAAATTGGGAATAATAAACTAACACAAATTTGATCCCAGAATTCAACACCAAATCTATTACCATATTGAACTAATATATCGAATAATAAATTCAATGCAGTTGATCTAACTTCTAAATCATCACCAGTCATAATAACATCATTAAAACTAAATAATGAAGGATACCATAACTCTTTGAAAATATCCTTACGATTCTTAACATATGGACTTTCATCATCTAAAGTAACTTCAGCAACTTTAATAACAATAGTTTTAATATTTTGTAACGCATGTAAACTAATTCTTTGGAATTTTGTATTTTTAGCTAATTCTCTTAAAGTAGAAACTAAAGCTGAAAATGAATCTTCATGCGTGAAAATAGTTTCAAAATGATCTTTATAAATGGAATTAACTAATTCATAAGTTTTCCAAACAATTGTCTCATTAACATCACTAGCAGTGAAATTTAAAGCAGAAAAAATTGTTTTCCAACCAGATTTGGTCTTGGTACCTTTCAATTGAATTAAATTAGTTAAACAATTCAAACACATTTCACTAACTTGAACATCTCTTGAATTTCTTAGAATATAATCAAATGGTTTTAAGAAATCTTGTTGGAACTTAAAACCTGAAAGTTCTTCAATATCCATAAATCTCATAGCTAATTGACGTAAAGAATCTAATGCAAAGAAAACAACTGAAAGATTATGTTTTGTACCAATTTTATTAAAACAAGCACCCATTTCAGCCCAAATTGGTGACCATTCAAGTCTAATACGACCCATATTATAATAACAAACATCAATAACTTTTTGTAATGAGAAAGTTCTTGGTGTATTACTATCCAATGATGATTCAATTTCTTCATATGCAACTTCCGTTAAAGCTTTAATGAAATCAATAATAGCACCACCATTCAATTGAGCACTTTGGGTATAAACTTTATCCATTGCAACAATCATATCAGTAGAAACAATTAATTGAGCAATATGAGGATCTAATTGTTGATTTTGATGATTTGATTGGGCTTGTTCAGCTGGTGTAGCTCTTCTCCCCAAACCGAAAAAGAAATTATTTGAATTTGTAGTTCTAGTACTATCTAATGAAGTTCTATGAACTCTTGCATTTGTGACATCTGGTAATAAATCAGCTTCAATACCTTTAGAAATCAATTGTAATCTTTCAACTTGAGAAATTGTAGTTAATATATCTCTCCATGATTGTTTTAAATTATTACCATTAGTTTCAGCAATTTTTAATAATAATAAAATAGCTTCGACATTTTTTTCTTTAATTTCTCTTAAATTTGATAAATTAGCAAATTGAATTAATGCACCAATAAATGAAGTTCTAGCATAATCTAAACCAAATGATGCAGCAATATTGATTGATAATTTCAAACCTTCTAAACAAGAACTTAAAGTTTCATCATCATCAATATCTTTAAAAGGTGCAGTCAGAGCAGCTAAGAATGACATCCATAAAGTATCAAATATAGACTTAACATGTTCAACATGTGAAGCAGAATAGAAAACATGTTTTTTATCACCTTTAGTTTTACCAAGAGTCTTGAATAATTTTTCAGTTTTATTTGAAATTTCCTTTGATGCTTGAATATAAGCTTCTCTATTAATATCTCTACCACCAAATAATGTGAAAGTTGGACCTGTTTGATTTGGAACAATATCACCAGCTAATAATGCAGCTTGTTGTTCAGAATGAAGTTTAATTTCATTTTTAGCAATTTCATGATAAATATGAGTTAAAAATTCATCAGATAAATTTCTACCATCATCAATACCTCTATTATTTTTAATAAAATCATCAATTGTCATTCTATTTTTAACTTTTGTAGAATGTTGATCGGTATTTAATAAAACAACAGAATAAGCTAAAACATAAGCAGTATCAGCATTTGCGAAAACATTTGGATTACCATCAAGGTATCTTTCAGCAAATTTTAACATAAATCTATCAATTTTTTGAGCTTCACCAGGAAGTCTAAATGATTGTAAGAAAGTTCTCATAGCATCAACAAATGAAGTATTTGAAAATTCCATTTCATCAACAAAAGCATGCATAATTGCAATATTTTCATCATCACCTTCACCTAAATATTCACCAATCACAGCTTTATCTAATCCTGGTTGTTTTAATAGAAATTGTGCAATTGTGGAAGGGTTTTGATCTTTAATAAAACCTTGTTTTAATAAATATGCAATACCTCTTTTTGGTTTAAAATTAAATTGTCTAATACCATCTTGTAAAGCGGTTTTACGTTGTTTTAAATTTTCAAATTCTTGAGGATCATCAACTTCATCAACAGACAGTGATGGAGATAATGGAACTGCTGAACCACTTGTACTTGATCTTTTTCTATTTGGTAATAAACCTGAAGATGATCTAGTTTCTGGTGTAATACCTTTATGAGCCCATGAATTTAAAGATCTTAAAAATGCAATGATACAACTTAATGAAGTAATTTTTAATGAATAATCAACAGGATAAGGTAAATTTGTATCATTAATTGCAGATTGTGAAGATAATTTAGATATTGATAATAATGGTAATTGAGATAAATTATAAGTTGCAATTGGTTTTGAAGCATGTTCTTTATAAGAAGATTTTTGACTTGCAGTAATTTCAACTTTGGTTAAAGCTAATTTTGTAAGATAATCTGTTAATTTTTCACAAATATTTGGCAGTGATGTATCACAATCATAATTTAAATAAAATTCAATTAAAGCTCTTGGATCATTACATAATCTTTGAATTATGGTTAAAAAATATCTTTTTTGATGAGATGTTGAAGTTTTCATTTCTGCAACTGGGAAATAAATTTCATTAAGGAAAACTGGGATTTCACTTTTAAATTCAGATCTTAAATTTGAAACAAGTAACCAAAAAATTTCTAATGTTGTTTCAAAAACTGGTGGAATTGCAGAAGCTGCATTTCTTGAAATTGTTAAGCATAAATATTGTCTTATAGCATCAACTAATTTAGTTTTCTCTTTTGTTGAAGGTGAAGAAATTGTTATATCTTTTGATAAGAAAACATCAATATGTTCTTTAATAATTGAATGAATAATATGTAAAGAAATCAATTTTGAACGAACAGCATGAGATCTCATATCTAATGATTCATTTTCCAATGATTTAATTGATAATTTACACATGGCTCTGAATAATAAGAATGCATCTTTAATAATTAAATCATTTTCATCACCAATTTCATTTTCTTGATCAACAATACGTTCATCTTCATCATTTAAATTATTTAAATTTTTCAAAGTTAATGGTTCACCACCATTTGATGTATTTATTAGTGAATTTTGACGAGTTGGAGTACTTGGACCTTGACCTGGAGATTGTGAACCAGAATCATTAACATTAATTGAACTTGAACTTTTAATTTGTAAATTTTTAGAATGCGGTATTTTTTCAACTTTATCAAAAACAACATTAACAATTTGTGTTAAACTTGCTTGAGCAATATTTTGATTAATTGGTGATAATGATAAAATGAAAATGTTATAAATTTGTCTAATAGCTCTTAATAAAGTTGAACCATGTGCAGGTAATTGTTCATTTAAAACTCCAGCCATTAAAGCTCTAACAACTTGAATTTCAATTCTTTCATCAGTACCTTCCCCATCAAATGAACTTGCTACTGTTTCAATAGCAGCATCTATTAGATTGATTCTAGGTGGTGGAGTTATTTGAGTTGTTTCACCACCAGCAGGTAAATCAACATCATTTGTAGCAGTTATACTTTTTGGAGGTGGAACTTGAATTGGTTCAAATAATTGGAATGTAAAAATTTTAGAAATACAATCTAATGCAATAACAACAATTTCCACAATTTTTGTCTCGGTAGCAACTCTTAATGTTTCGAAAACTGAAGTTGAATCAAATCCATTATTATTTAATTTATCCAATGTTTTTTTAGATAAATTAACTAAAGTTGTATTCTTTTTACCTTCTTTATGTTCAGCAATTGAAGAAATTGCAGCTTTAACAAATGAAATATGAGTCGAATTTTTGGAAGCAACTGAAATATTTGAAACAACAGAAACAGCTCTTGAATGTCTACCTTGATCATTTAAATTTGTATTGTTATTAGTATTTGTAGCGATAATTTTCGGTAGTGCAGTTGGAATATCATTAGAGGTTTCAACATCAGTTACATCTTCACCTTTATCATCTTGATCCAATTCTTTTTGAACTTGTTCTTCAGATTTTGAAGTTGATTGATTAACTTCACCATTGCTTTGACCATTTTCTTGGCCATTTTTATCATCATTAACAACATTACCATTAGTAGTTGTGTCAGTGGTAACAGTGGCATTAACATCACCATCAGAGGATTGCGATACTGGTTCATTTTGTGTATTTTCATCTCCATTATCATCATCTTGCTTATCATCACCATGATTTTCTTTTATATCTTTTGATTCAACATCACTAGTTACAGCGGTTGATTCAGTAAGTTGGGATTCATTATTCCTATCAACATCCGATTGATCTCTAATACTGTCGTCTGCTGACATTTGATATAATTGGGTCTATTGATTGGATATTAATACAATCGGATTGTTTTGTTTTGAAATGTTTTGTTTTTTTCAATTGTTGATATTAACCTGTATAGATCACACGTAAATATAAATAAACTTGAATGGGAAATATGGGTATGTTTTGTTCCAAAGATCACTAGTTCTCTACTTGTGTTCACACGCTGTGTGGTAATTGTCCTTTCCTGTCTAGCCTCTTCCTTTCTGGAATCCGATGTGTTGTCTTTTTTGACCTGTTGGTGTAATTAATCCGCAGTTGATCTTTTCTGAATTGTTTCCAAATATTCAATTCAATCAGATATCGGAATTGTTCAAATTCAAATGTTGATCCTTTAGAAAATTAAAAGGGTGAACTGCGGGTGACACGTCGGGCAGTGCAGTGGTGGTACGGGACACTCCATAATAAACTACAATTCAACTAACACTTAATTCATTAAATAAATATATATATATATAATCATAATCTAGTAATTGGTCCATTATAATTTAAACTCAGTGACAATGTTCTTGAAAATATGTTTCGGAAGAACTTGTTCAAAATGTTTACCTCGTTCGTTAATAATCATTCCAGATTCCCAATTTGATCTTTTCCTATCATTCATTTGACCACCAAATTGAGTTAATCCATAAATTAAATTTTCATTACCAATATAATTTTGATCTAATTGATTAGTGGCAATATTAGCTAAATCATAAATCATTTGTGCAGTTAACCCCCAAAGATCTTTAATATCTTTCCCATTATTATGTTCATGCATATCATCAATTAAATCTTCTTCATCAGAACTTAAGTCTTGAACTTCATTTAACCATGAAACTTCTTTGGAGTTTATAGTTGGATAATAAAAATGTTTTAAAGGCCATTTTAAATGACCCCAATGATATGTATGAATTGTTTTGGAAAGATATTCATGTTTTATTTTTGATTGATCATTATGAATTAAATCTAATAATGGTATTGAAAAAATAGATGAAGTTTCACCAGGATTTAACAATAATTTAAGATCTTTAATCTGTTCACTTGGAGATTTAATATTTTGAAGAAAATAAACAACAGGTCTAACACTTAGGAAAGTTCTTGAAAGATAACATGGTAACATATTTAAATATTCCAATTTTAAACCTTGTTTATTCAATTCTTCATCATAAGGTAATCCAATTTCTTCAAATGATTCTCTTCTAGCAATTTGACACTCGGTTTCATGTTCATCATCAGCTTTCCCACCAGGTAATGAGACATGTCCACTAAAATTGTTTAATTTTCTTGATCTCTTGGTCAATACCACTCTCAGTTCACCACCATTACCCACAAAGAGTACAATCATCACAGCTGATCTTCTTTGAGCTGGCCAAATGGTAGATACTGGGTACACCTTGGGTAAGGAAAACCTCCTTATATTGTTGACTAGTTCTACTGCTGTTAGGCTCATCTCTTGTCTAATTTCCAATGAATTTCAATGGATTCCCAGTGTATCTAGGCTCTTTTCTAGGCTGAAGCCACTATTGATTCTGTTTAAATCTGTTTAAATTGATTTTGTAATCATAAAACCATTTCGCGTCCAGGCTTAAGCTTTCCAGGTTCGGGACACGGAAGGGAATTCCGTTGCAATCTTTTCTCAATTACAAATCCCAACATTTAACAAAACAAACAAAACCAACTGCAGTCTTTGAAGTTAGGCTTACGTTCTACTGGTAGAAAGAGTGTTAAATATGGTGCTTCCCATCTCTTGTAATGAGTGTCGTCGCAGGAAAATTCGTTGTGATAGGGTCCAACCTTGTAAAAACTGTTCTCATAGATCAATAACATGTTCATATCCATCAAGATTTAGATCAATTGAAATAAACAAGATGAAATCAAATAATTCAAATGAAATTTCAAATGAAATTGAAAAATATCAACAGAAAATAAAAGAATTAGAAACTAAATTAGCAACTTCTGAAGATCTGATTTCTATTTTTGATACTACAGGTAATTCATGTTCAAAATATTTTGGTCCAAATAGTATAAATAATTTAGAAAATGAAATGATGTATGGTATCTTCCCAACTGGTGAAGAAATTACCAAAATTATAAATTTAAAGAAAAAAGATTTACCTTTATTAATTGAAGGTGATGAATTGAAAAATAAAAGAGTTATTAGATCTTTAGTGGAATTTTTTTTCAAAGAAGATCAATATTATTATTATAATGAAATGCTTAATAAAGATGAGATGTTAAGATTTTTAGATAATTATGATCATATGAATTCATGGAATAATGATGAAGATATAATGTTATTATGTGTTATCCTAATGGATGTTTTGAAAAATTGTACATTGGAAAAAAATAATTTGGAAAAACATCATGCTGATGTAGATATTATACCTCATCAAAGATCAAAATTATTATGTTTACAAAATTATTATTTCCAATTATCAAAAGTTCAAACAACTGATACTATTAAATTATTACAAAGTCAATTAATTTTATTAAATTTTTATTATTTTGATTTCCATTTTGAAAAATGTTGGAAATTAATTTTTCAAATTGTTTCAAATGCTTATAGTTTAGGATTACATACAACTGGTGGTATATTATGGACAAAAATTAATACAATGGAAGCTTTATTATGTTCAGCTTCTTCAAGACCAAATATCATTAATAATGAAGATTTATTAACTTTTAAAATGATGAAACAAGATGAAATGCAAGAATATAAATTATGGAAAATTCTTAGACAAAAAAATAATTTATATATTGTTTGCTCTACTTTAGGTGTTGATCCAAATTATCAAGAAATTTTAAATCTTGATAAAATGTATGATGAATATACTTCATTTTTATATTCAAAATTTACTAAAAATCCATCATCATCAGAAGGTTTAGATTCAAAAACATTGAAAAATAATGAAAAAATTCATATTTTATTATTAGTTTCTTATACAACTCAAATTAAAATTCATTATGAAAGTTTTGAAAAACATTCTTTTAGTGAACAAAAAATTTATCATATAATTATAAAAACTTTGGAAATCTTGGAAGATTATGCTTATGGTAAATTAGATTCTTTAAGGATAAAATTTTCTCCATTGGAATGTTTTTTCTATCAATATTTATTAATTTTCTTGAAATTTTTAAATTTTAAAACTGTTAATTTAACTATAGGTTTACAAGATAATTTAACTAATGATATAAGAAAATTTGAAATTAATAAATTATCAAATTTACAA